AATTTTTATTCAGAATCATTTTATGGGAAGCTGTATGGATGAAGAGCAATATAAATCAGAAATTAAAATTAATTGCAGTGAAGTATCCTGCAGATCTGACTCAAAAGGGGAAGGTTCCTAGGGTCTCTATGAATGACAGAATAGGCAGATTGCTGTTAAAAAAAAAAAGATAACACTCCCTTTTTTCTTAGCAAGCTGCTTTTGATGCCCTGGGATAGGCCATTTAGGGAGCGATTGATAGCAAGGCCTGAGATGAAGTCTGTACAGCTCTCAACCCGTAATTCTTGAGGAGACACTGAATGTAGGACTAGTTAGGAATTCGGCAGGCCCATAGACTTCTACTCTGCTATTTCTTACCTCTTCCTGAAACAGTTTTCATGGGATTCTTATGTCAGACCAGACATAAAAGAGACGATGGTGTAGGGCAGGTACATATTCTTTTACTTAGGTACTTGCAGATTTTGTCTTAGGAAAGTTTGGGTGGTGGTGCATGTTTCTGGAAGAAGAAAATTTCCCAGAATTCAAGTAGTAGGTAGTTTCCCATTGGCATGGTCTTTTGTATTCTGTAGAGTAGTGGTATAGCAGTGTAGATGATAAGAAGCCAGAGGCTTACTATGTACTCCTCTATGTCAGAATCTTCATCTTGGGGGGGGGAAAAGTCAGGACAAAACAGCAAGATGCCTAAAAGTAGGTACATATCTGGTGAGAAAAATACCTGTTGTTTCCAGAAAAAGCAGAAAACCCCAAAGATTAAGGGGAACAGCTACTTTTTTTTTTTTTTTTTAATTTTTTACCATCATTGTATTTTTGGTTGTCTAAATTCTCAAGGGAAGACATTAAATAAGCCTACAGCAAACCAAGGATCTTCAAAGTCAGCTTCTTGGAGAAATGAGCTGTAAATTAAGCATACTGAGGAAGAATGTTGTGAAATATATCTTTTAAAGGTAGTGCAGGGACAAAGTGTTTTGGTGGATAATAATGAGAAAACTCCAGAAATGCTGGGAGAAAGTCACAACAGATACATGTATGTGTGTGACTCCCTCCAATTAAAACTTCATAATTGCTGTTACAGTCTGATTTAATACTTTGAGAAAATTTGGAGATTATTTTAGAACAAACAGTATATAAAGTGGAGAGTCGAGAGAAAGTTTTTGTAATTCCTTCCCAAATAGTCACTCTAATGTTGTTCGATAGATGTATGTAGTAAATCAGTGAGGTATAACTCCCTAGCTACTAGCTTTAGCTAAATTTAAATAAAGTACTTCAAGTTATTTAAAAGGCTATTTTAATGACCATTTTAATTGATCAGGCTGAAAATTCTTGGGGAGTGAGGGGGAGGATGCAAATCCCTCCCATTTCAAGGGACTTCAAGCCATTCTGGACATGCAGATTTTTGTTCTGGTGCTTATTTAGGAAAATAAAGAAAAGAAGAAACCAGTAAAAGGTACATAGAATAAATCAGGAGTCTTAAGAGGGTGCTGAGATTTTTGAGAGAAATCTTGTAACTTTTTCAAGTAGGTGTGACTACAGAGTAGTGCTGTAGGGCATAACTCTTCGAGTGGAAGGCAAGGCACAGAGCTTCAGGAAGGTGGGAATGGTCATATTAGTAAGATATATACGGTTCAAGTTGGATATATTTAAACTGCTCCAGAACCTGATGCTATTCTGACATCTGTTTTTCAGGAACATACTCTGTTCTGCAGCAGGGAGGTATGCTGTAAAACCTTAAGGTCTGATCTTGTCAGTCAAATTCCAGCAGGGTAAGAATTAAAACTATTACTAGTGTTTCAAATGTGCAGGAGCTTCTTATCTAAGTAAGACTCAAGCTTTTTTCCTAAGCATCGAAGGTAAAAATGGAAATTCTGAAGTTCGTGTTGAAAGCAACTGCTGAAAAAAACAACTGCTAAAGAATTTCCTGTGATAGTTGAGCTTCAACCTGCCTTTTCCTATTTCTTTATTCCAAAGGGTGTAGTTCTAGTTTATGCACAATGGTTTCAGTACATGACTTTTCTCTTTGGTTTGGCAGCTGATCAAAGAGAAAGAGTGAAAATATTAGTTGTCATTTCACCATTGTTTCATCAGAAAAGGGTTGAAGTAGATTTTTTTTTTTTTTTTTTGGTGTGCTTTGATGAGCAGAACATCTTTCTGTAAAAGGCGTCTGAGGCAAATTTCGGTATAGCATTAAACTGGGACATCATGGATTATCCTTAATATTAGGAAAATCTCTTAATTCCTTGATAGTGTGTCTTATGTTTTCTGATTGTTATATGTAAGATGCTGTAAGGACTCATCAAATCATAAGGGAGATTTAGATGTGAAATAGTAATCACTTTCAGTATTTCTTACCAGAATAGTAGCAGCTTTTGATACCCTCCCCAATAATTTTAGCAAGTCTGTAGATTATTCTTAATATCTTTTTTCTGCACCAAACACCTGCTAAAAATGTTCTACCTGTGCTTCACCCTCTAGAAAGTAAATTCAGCTGTGCATGTGAAAAGTATGTAGACAAAAACACTTTCAAATGGAATGGGTGAGATCTCATTAGCATCTAGAAAGTATCTAACAATTAGGGCGCATTCAAGAGCTTCCTCTATGTTTAAGATATTGTGAAAACATCAGCCTGGAGCCGTTTGAGGCAGTAGCGAATTATATATATTATAATTCATTCAAAGCATGAATTTAAACTTAACCCCCTAGATGGTGACATTCCAAGTAGTAGCCACTGCAGGAAAAAACAGGCAGATGCAGAAATTCTTTGTATTTGGATAAGTAGGTGCTCTCTTAATTCAAAGATGGGTAGGTGATTAAAAAAAAAACAACAAACCTTTGCTTTCATGCTGTATCTACGTAAGTCTTTTGACTGTAATTCTGTAACTTACACTGTAACTTAGACTGTAGGACTGTAACTTACCTTTTGTGATTTCATTCAGTTTAAGTGAAGTCTGTGTTGGTAAGTAGTACAGCCTCAGAGAAGCAGACTTGTAGAGCAAACAACTTTCTACCAGGAGCTTAAGGTTCACACCATTCACACGGTATTTTGCTTCGTGCTAGCTCAAAAACCATGGCGCGAAATGTAAGTAATGGTTGGAGGGAGTGCATTAGATCCATTCTTGGAGTACATGTTGTTTAGTTTTATCCAAAATGAATTCGGCATTTGTGCTTTGATCCTCTGCATTGTGAACCAAAGTATGGTGATTTGGCATCATCAGGAGCTGGCTTGAAATCCACACTCTTGACCCAAACCGAAACAATAGTATAGACACAGTACTTGCTGGTTTTTGCCTTCACAAGATTGTGTGTGCTTCCTACAATTCTTGTGCATACCAGAGAGATCTTCCAGTACGTAGTGCTGAGCAGGTCTTCAAGTAGGTAGTGCCTGCAGAGATACCAGCTCTTGGACTGTTCCTGTGCATTTTGTGAGGGTGGTGTGGGTGAGGGCATGTCCTTTGAATCTTTGGATACTCTAGAGAAATTACCTAAACAGGTGTTAAGAGATGCCTTTTGTTAACTAGCCTTGAAATAACTCTTAACTTAAGCTAGCCTAAAGTAAAGTTCAGTAGTAAGTAAAAGTATTTTAGACATCCAAAATGAGCTACACAATTACAATTTTTTATAAAAGCTATAGATGAAGAATAACAGAAAAAGCATGTTTACACTAATACTGAGTTTGAACAGGCCCTCCCTGTACCTACCTTGTCTTTAGGAAAATACATGCAGCACTTTGTCAGGGTTTTTATCTTCCTACATTCACTACTTCTCAAGCTGTGTTATTCAGAGATAATTTTCTTCTGGTGTACCATGCAGTCTGCTATAACTGGTCACAGTTTTAGAGCCCAACAGGACTTTGTCCTGATTTAGTCTTGTGCCTCGTGGAATTTTAGTTCTGTCATCACTGGTGATTCTTACTGCCATGCTGCACTGTGCTGGCATAACCTGTTGTGTGCCTATGCAGGCAGGGAACTGAAAGAGCTGAAACTTAACCTGACAGAAAAAGGGATCCTTTCCTCCTGAATCAGCTGTGTGATCTGGTTCAGCACTGGGCTCTGCAAACTTGTGCTCCACTATGTGAATGATAAGCAAGGGTAGCAATTTGTTACCTCTACTGTAAATCTTTTAGACCTTGTTCTTTCTTTCATACTCTTCTATTCTGCCATTTTTCAGTCTATGTAAAATAAAATTAAGTGGCTAAGCTAATGAAAAACTACTCTGCTTTCTGGGAGCTTAGTTTTCTGCAGCCTTTAAAAATTAAAACAGCTTAGCAACGGACCTCAGGTGTGCCAGTGTGAGGGAGACTCTGGTTTGCACAGGTGGGGTAGGTAAGGGTGGGAGAAGGGACTTCTGCTTTCTCATCACAGTGCAAAGAGATGTACTCATGTTGGTTTTCTGCACTTCACCTACATTAATTCAGAAGATAGTCTTGATGCTTCTTTATCTAATCAAGTGTTGTCTCCTTTCTTGTAAGTGTTGCTTTGTCAAGTCGGGTATCCTCTCACTCGTATTTGCTAGCTTGTCCTGATTGATAAGCAAAGACACTGCCTCTACTCAATAGTAAGTAGGAAAAAACATAGTGAAAGGAGGGAATGATTTGCCCATTATAGGAAAATATTCTGAGGAGGGGATTAAGTCAAGACATTTTTCCCATTTTGTATGTAAACTTCTTTAACTCGTGAGTAGTAGTTAAGTGAGTATGAAGGCTATGCTATAGGCATTTGTGCTTAACGAAGAGCTGAACGTTTGATAACTGGCACATGGTAGGTAACTAGAGAAGCTGAAAATTAGAGTTTTGCAGCATTAAATTTGGGAAAAGGTGAACACTATGTTATGCATTTACTGGCAAGTAGGGTCTCTCTTGATTAATGTGTTACTTCATAATAGTCAAAACTTCTAACATTTAGTTTTTGTAACTTAACTTAGTATAGTATGCCTGACAACTAGTTTGAAGTTGATATAATTAATATATATACATACATATAAAATGTATTATATTCTATATCAAATAAGTATGTATATGATAAGTATATCAAGTAAGTATATATGTGTATCTGTGTGTGTTGCCTATATGTGTATGAAATTGCCTATTTCTACCAGATCTAATTTGCCCTCTGCTTGGGGGGGCTACTTTGGCACCCTTGAGTCTGTCATCTTACTTAAACTCAGTATAGTTTTTCTATCCTTACCAATTATATTAGCTAATAGGATAACTTAGAGAATGCTAACCTGATGTGGACTAAAAGGCAGTTGATAAGCGATTGACTTATTTTTTGTTTGTTGGACACCTGTCTGTACACCAACTATTTAAACATCTGAGTGCAAGATAATTTTTTAATTTCACTTTTGTCCTGCATACCTTCTTGCTGACCTGAAGAGAATCATTGCCTTTCTCTTGAGTGGACTGTTACCCATGTGATGGAACAGCTAGTCACAAGCATCAGCTAGTTGGGTAAGTCAGGCTTTGGGATTCTTGATATTTCCTTAAAAATGGGGAGGGATTAGGATGATGAAGAATATGTAATTTAGTTATATAATTGTGGTCAGTGGACTATGTGCATTTATTTTAGGCTTTATTTCATTACAGATCTGCAGTAAAGTCTGCTGGTCCATGCATTTGTCCAGTATTACATGTTTCCATGGTTTCCATGGCTACTAATTATGTATTGGCTGTGCATATTCAGTATTAAGATAACATCTACAGTGGATGTATGATTTTTAACTAGCAGAAAATACTGAAATGCTGTAGTCACTGATAAAGCAATCCTAACATTAAAAGCCACTCCTTCTAGGACAAAATGTTAAAGATAATAAAAATGGAATTTTATGGGAAGTGGGAGAAAAAGACAGTATAGACAGGACTGATAGCCACATTACATAAATCAGAAGTATAGGTTCTAGCAAAGAATGTAGAGACTGAGGTTATACAAGTGAGGCTAGAAGGCTGTTAATGGAAAGCAGACTATCTAAATAGGGAAGAAGATTTGTGTGCTTAATGATTATGCCTTTGTAGGTACCTTCAAGCATCCCATTCACAAGAAAAGTTTTAACACATTGATTAACAAGGACAAAATCAGGTAACTGTATTTATATAAACAAATAAACTAAATACACCAAATTTTTGTAATCCCAATAGTCTCTCCTTGAAACTGTCTCACTCAGAATACCTGATTCAAAGTAGACAAGAATTGACTCTCTTAGCATTTCTTTATGTTTAATTAATCTTCTACTCATTTTATTTATCATAGAATCATAGAATAGTTAGGGTTAGAAAGAGCATAAGATCATCTAGTTCCAACCCCCCTGCCATGGGCAGGGACACCACACACTAAACTATGTCACCCAAGGGTGTGTCCCACCTGGCCTTGAACATCACAAGGGGTGAAGCATTGGGCAACCTGTTCCACTGCCTCACCACCCTCACAACGAAGAACTTACTCTTTATCTCTAACCTGAACTTCCACTGTTTAAGTTTAAACCCTTTATCTCTTGTCCTATTAATACAGTCTGTGATGAAGAGTCCTTCTCCAGCATCCTTTCAGGCCCCCTTCAGATACTGGAAGGCTGCTCTGAGGTCTCAACGCAGCCTTCTCTTCTCCAGGCTGAACAGCCCCAGCTTTCTCAGCCTATCTTCATACAGGAGGTGCTTGAGCCCTGTTATCGTCCTTGTGCTCCTTCTCTGGACTTGCTCCAACAGTTCCATGTCTTTCCTATGTTGAAATTCATCCCGCCTAGATAACTAATCCTGTCCTTATGATCTCGTTTATTCCAGAAAAATTGTTCATATATGTGGTGAACAACATGCGAGCTGATCCAGATGATAGTATTTTGCCAAGTTAGTTTTCAGTGAATTTCTCTTGGTTTACTATGAATAAACGCTTGTGCCCACACAGTAGAGATGTGATCAAGTTGCTGCCAGTAGAAAGAAGGTGGGATTTCTAATTTTTTTTTTTTTTTTTTGTAATATTGCATGAGGAAGAAATGGTCTTTGGCAAAGACGTTAGTGTTCCATGTTCTTAGGGAATATACTCTTGTCAGGCCTTCAAAACTTGGATTGCTAATGCAGCACACTTTTATCAAACTTCAGTTGGAAAAATCAGAAGTTACACTTGTTTAAAAAGACCAAAGGGATATGATCACATCTGGTAGCCTTGTGCACTACCTGTTGTACACTGATTGCAATTTGAGTTGATGACCTGAGGTTACACACAGTGGTCCAAAACTCAGTTGCCCTCCATTCACTTTATCATGCTCACAGAAGCATATGCTGTTTGTGAGTATTTTTCTTGGATTCAAAATGGTTGACTTCCTGTTTTTGAAGTGATTGTGCTACTTCTGGTGATGTCTGGTTGACCTGTGAATCTGCTCCTACTTTATTAGCGTTTTGTCTTCTTTCAGGAGATCATTAGATTCCGTTAATTTTAATAACTTTTCTTTATCAGCTTGTATACAACTATTGGGTATTTGACGAGGTTTCAGAATTTAGTTGTGGGTCCTATTATAACTGATACAAAATCCCAAGGTTTTAAAAAAAGGTGGTGGGGGTTAAGTACTCCTAGGATTTTGAGCAGTTCTTTCCCTTCACCTCCTCACCATTAAGCAAAATGTGTGAGCACACTTTCTTAATGCTTGCAAGAGAATAAGGCATTAAAAACCCCCACACCGTAGCTCCTCTTTAAAAACAATGGAAGATAAAGAAGTAAGGGCAACAGATTTTTGCCATCTTCTTCTTCCATGTCTGACTTTTCATCTTTAATGTGGTTTAAATTGTGCTGGCTAAATACTGGAAATGGCTTTTCAGTGCTTTTCTGCTACTTTTGTATTGAAAATACTTTTCAGTTACTGTTATTTCTGTTCTTGTGTAAATCTTGTTCTTTGTGAATTGACAAAGGCATGCTTCCTTTGGGACTGACAGTCATCTTTTGTTACCTATAGTGTGACAAATTATATTGAATTTTGTCTTAGCAGTGTTATTTGCTTCTTTATTATTTTTCCTTTGGGTGTATGTGTGTTGATGCAGAGTTTGTTGATCAAATATGTCGGTGGATAAAGAACTGGCTGGATGGGCACACGCAAAGAGTTATGGTCAGCGGCTCAATGTCCAGCTGGAGATCAGTAACCAGTGGTGTCCCTCAGGGATCAGTGTTGGGACCAGTCTTGTTCAACATCTTTGTTGGTGATATGGACGGTGGGATTGAGTGTGCCCTTCAGCAAGTTTGCCGACAACACCAAGCTGTGTGGTTCAGTTGATACGCTGGAGGGAAGGAATGCCATCCAGAGGGACCTTGACACGCTTGTGAGGTGGGCTGATGCCAACCTCATGAAGTTTAACCATGCCAAGTGCAAGGTCCTACACCTGGGTCAGAGCAATCCCAGGCATAGCTGCAGGTTGGGCAGAGAAGAGATTCAGAGCAGCCCTGCGGAGAAGGACTTGGGGGTGTTGATCAATGAGAAACTGAACATGAGCCTGCTTCAGTGTGTGCTCGCAGCCCAGAAAGCCAACCGTATCCTGGGCTGCATCAAAAGGAGTATGACCAGCAGGTCAAAAGGGGTGATCCCCTCTGCTCTCGTGAGACCTCACTTGGAGGATTGTATGCAATTCTGGTGTCCTCAACATAAAAAGGACATGGAACTGTTGGAACAAGTCCAGAGGAGGGCCATGAGGATGATCTGGGGGCTGGAGCACCTCCTGTATGAAGACAGGCTGAGAAAGTTGGGGCTGTTCAGCCTGGAGAAGAGAAGGCTGCGTGGAGACCTCATAGCAGCCTGCCAGTGTCTGAAGGGGGCTTATAAGGATGCTGGGGAGGGTCTCTTTGTTAAAGACTGTAGTGATAAGACAAGGGGTAAGGGGTTAAAATTTAAACAGGTGAGGTGAGAACCTCTTGAATACAACTAATTGAGAGTTTTCTCATAGAATTTAGTAAAAATGTCAAGTGCCTGTTTTCTTGAAACTGTTTTGTTTGGAACTGCTTTGAGTTGATCTTACCTGGAATCTTAGGATTTCATTGTCATATTTACCTGTATCTCTTCTCTTTTTCCCTTTTTATTTTTTTTTTCAATTTTTTTTCCTTTTTCTTTTTAATCTGATAGCTGACAAGGCATCTCTTCGCTTTGCCTTGCATTCCTGAATGACTTCTTAGGCAACTTGATGAAATAATTTGGTGTCCTCTTTTCTTAGTATATGTTTAAGTAGATTATGTTTTCCCTGTCTCATGGCCTTTAAAAGTTATCATTTTTTACCACAGTGTTAATGTTGATTCCCCCCAACCCAAGATTACTTTTTTTTTTTTTTTCCCCCTGTGTTTCTTTCATTTTGCACCCAGTGAACTTTCATGTAGTCTGTTGTCCAGGAGGTTATATCTGGAGTATGTACTGCTTTAATGCTGTACAAAGGAGGTCATTGAAGAAATCACTGAACATGATTGTGGTGGGTTGACCCTGTCCACGTAGCTGAGTCCTCACCCGGACGCTTGCTAACTGCCCTCAGGTTCAATAAGGGAGACAATCAGAAAGGAAAAAGTGGGAGAACTTGTGGGTTGAGATAAGGACAATCTAATAAGTGAAGGAAAGCTAACTGTGTGCACCTCACTGATGTCAAGGAAGACAATATCCACTGCTTTCCACTTACTAAGCTAGTAATTTCCTTATAGAAAGTAGGTTTTGTTAGGCTGGGTTCTGTGTTCTGCTGCATGTTTTTATGTACCTGTTAGGTAGAAAAGCCTAGTTTGCCTTTCTATGGAGCCTTCTGCCAGGCAAAAAGTGCCTATAAAAAATTCTGTAGCTTGTTGCACTAATCTGTATCCCCCCTTTCTTCAGAAAGAAATGCAGATGTGCAAGGAAGTACACAAGACGGTGCAAGGAAGCAGTGTCCCACTGTGTAGTTTACCATAGATTCTGGAACACAGAATCTACTACTGGTAGTAGTAGTGGTAAACCTATTGGAATACCTACTGGTAAACCCGTAGAATGAGGAAAGTCTTACAAACATCTGTTGTCTTTTTACATTTTTGGCTAATTGTTTTCCTAGAATTTGTGAATAGCATTTTAACTTCTTGTATGTGTTAGATTTTTCTAGCTGTTTAGGGGCCTTTGTAGATTAATTTCCTTTTCTTGTCCCTTCAATAGAATCAGAAGTGGAAATTCAGATTCCATACTTTCAAGGAGTTTCCTTCATAGGGGGTGAGGGGGAAGTAGACATTTTAACCATGTTGGTTCCATTCAAGTCAGTGTAATATGACTTAATGTTCCTCTGAACAGTTACATAGCTATCTAGTGTCAATTATTGTGCATTGCTGATGCTTCTTAAGATACAGACTGGCCTTTTAACCATGTTATGTGAATGTAAATGAGGAAAATCTTTTTACTGGGTGCCCAGAAAAGATCATTTAAGTAAGGACATGGTTTAAAGATGTTAAAGCTGACAATACTGCACAGTTTGTCACTGTTCTGCAGTTTATTCTGTATTGGATATAATTTCAGATATTGCATTGTGACAGATAGTATTGTTTACTGTGTAAATCTGTAGGAAATGGTTTCAGCTAACATACATTATCTTTTTGTTTATATATTTTACAGCTTTCTTTTATGTATCAAGTACTTTGCAAATTCTCAGATAAAAAGGAAGTCTTGAAATTTATATGCCAGGTAGACTACATGCTAAAAAGAAGATTTTTTTAAGTCTCTGAGGACAAGAACCTATAGTAAACTGGTACGTGAGGTTCTTGAATAAGCTTCAATTCTTGTATTAGCTTGGATTCACTTTAATAATCAGCTTTGACTACTCCAGCCTGACTTTTAATATGTTGTTTACTAGTAAAACACACTTCGTTGAGAATTACATATATACGACATTATAATAGTTCCATAAGTTAGTAATCCTAGAGGCCACGGTCAATGTGAGTATTAAATGTCATTTATTGAATATTTATATAACAGTCCCTGCACCAAGGGTCTGCAGATCATTTTTAGAAACAAAACTTAGCAGTTGAGAGATGCTTTTAGAGAACGCATTTTTATTTCACTTCAGATTTTCTGTCTTGAAAGAAAGTGAGTATTGTTTTAGGATTTTTCTATGCTTGAATATTGTTTCTTACTAAGCCTTTTCACCTTAAGTAATGAGGTTTGGATTTCTGGAAAGCATTACATGGACACAGCTTTGTCCTTGGTCTCATTCTCTTCTGTTCCGTAGATCTTTAACAGAATACTTTAGTATAGAACTTGTTAGCTGAATAGCTGAAATTCTGCAGAAAGAGTTTTCTGTCTTCTGTAGTAAACAAAGGTTTGCATCAATTCACTAGTCTGTTCAAACTGGATTTAGAGCTATACAGTTCTCTGTGTTAGAAGTATGTAATGTATCTTTTTGTTGTACACTTTGCTCTCACAGATTCAAGAGACCTTTGATTTTCCTCATGGCCTGTCCTGATCATTGTCATCCAAGTTTTAGTTCTGGATGATGTCTAAAGTGAAGTCCCTAAACTTAAGAACAGGCTTGCAATAAAAATAGTATTTTAAGAGTAATGATTATTTGTTTCTTTAATAATTAATGTTTGCGAATGTCTTAACTTGCTGAGTCACTGCTAATCCACTGGAAATGACATACATGGAGTTATGTATTTGCCTTTCTCTTACACCTGAGGTTTTCCTGCTGATTCCATCTCCAGTCGCTCCAGGGAATAAGAATTTGAAATGAGATGGTGAAGATGCAGAGCACCAAAGGAGTTTTAACTTACTGTGGTATTTGAATGCATGTAACAGTTTCTAAAAAGAATGAACAAATACTTCACAGTTAATTCATCACATTGGTCAATCTATGTGAATATTACCTTTCTTGTGTGTTGTAAGGGTAGATTGAGGATTTTTGGAGATATTTTGGATGAAATGAAAAATAGTACATGATCCAAAAGATGTATGTTGGAAAACGCTAATAAAAAGAAAAAATAAAAAAGAAAAGAAAAAGAATCTGCAGTTGACACAAGAAGGTTAGTGTTAACAGATAATGTGATGATGTCAGGGGCAGAGGAAGGTGTTGAATCATTGTTTTAGAGGTGTGAGGTGGAGTTACTGGAGTTTGTGTGCTCCAGAGAGCAGCGGAAATTCTGTTGATCCATTTCTGCAAATACTTATTTGGGGATATTATGGTTGCTCTAGTGAATGCTGCATTAAAAGTAGAAAAAGCTTTGAATATGCTTTACAATGGAACGCCTTTATTCTTTCTACAGAGCAGTGCTGTTAAGAGCTACATCCCTAGCCATATACTTCTGAAATTAGAAATCATGGCTGAAAAGGTGCCCAGATTCTAAGAAGTCTTGTATTTCTGGAGAGAGGGAGATATAAATAGTCAATCAAACAAGTCTCTTTAACACTTCATAAACTAGATCCAAAAAGAGCCATAGATGTGATGATGCTTTGGTATTTCAAAATTAGTGGTTTGGACCATGCAGTGGGAGAGATGAGAACAGGGTTCAAATCATTGTGTTTTGAGCTATTGTAACGTTTTCTTTCCTGTTAGAGGACAATTAACAAAGCATGAATAATCCATCTAAGTCTTCTCTCCCAGTTCAGTGCCCTCATATTGGGCTATAGCGTGGTCCTTGTTGCTGATGGTCTGGATGCTATAGCAGTTTATTTTTTACCTGCATAGTTACCTAGCTTTAGCAGATAAGAGGCTTGTCAGCTTCTGGCATTTTAGATTCGTAATTAAAGCACTCTCCTGGGAAATAAATGAGCATGTTTGAATCCCTGTAGACTAACAAGGAATTAAACCCAAGGTCATCGACTCTGTGGTACTTGCTGTAATCCAGTATGAATCTACAGGCAAAGTTCTGGGTTGGTAGTCTCAAGCCATTTGTAGACCCTTGTGCACTGTGCTGTGCTCTTACACAGCATCTGCCACTAGCCTTTCACAGCTATAACCTCTGTGTTACCTTGCATATGAGCCTCTCAGCATATGTCTTGGTAGAGCTTTAGTCTTCTATAAAGTTTCCACCAGAAAAATTAAAAAGCGTTTATTACCTCTGTATCTAGGGGAATCCTATGGTATTTGTTGGATTGCATTGCATAGTACTTGAGGGCCTGAATTTTACATATACACAAAAATGTTACTGTGGATTCATTAACATGTAATGAATGCTTGGAGTGATGCAGAGCTACCAGCCAATGAGTTGGCTTTATTCAGAGCTTGGCTCAGATGCCTCTATACAAATGCTTGTAGTATGGGGAATAAATGAAATTTGAGATGTGTATATGTCTACGGGATATGATATAATTGGCATCACAGAAACATGGTGGGATGGCTTCTATGGCTGGAATGTTGGAATGGAAGGTTATAGGCTCTTTAAGAAAGGCTAGTCAGACGTGGAGGGGGTGTAGCTATTTATGTCAATGACCAGCTGGAGAGTATGGAGCTCTCTCTGGGGATGGGTGATGGGTCAACTGAGAATTTGTATGTTAGGGTCAAAGGGAGAACTGCAATGGGGGACATTACTGTGGAGGTCTGCTACAGGCCACCTGATTAGGGTGACTGTGTGGATGAAGCACTCTATAGGCAGATAGGAGCAGCCTCACACTTGCAGGCCCTTGTCCTCATGGGGGACTTCAACCACCCTGACATCTGTTGGAGGGAAAGTAAGTCCCGGCACAAGCAATCCAGGAGGTTCCTTGGTTGCGTGGAAGACAACTTCCTCTTGCAAGTGATAGAGGAGCCAACAAGGAGAGGTGTCATGCTTGACCTCGTGCTCATCAACAGGGAGGGGATGATGGGGAATGTGAAGCTCCAAGACACGTTGGCTGCAGTGATCACAAGATGATGGAGTTTGAGATCCTCAGGGCAGTGAGGAGGGCACACAGCATGCTCACTGCCCTGGACTTCAGGAAAGCAGACTTTGGCCTCTTCAGGAACCTGCTCAGTAAAGTTCCGTGGGATAAATCCCTAGAGGGCAGGGGGCCCAAGACTGCTGGTTGATATTCAGGGGTCACCTGTTCCAAGCTCAGGAGCATTGCATCCTGACAAGAAAGAAATGGGGCAAGAAGGCCAGGAGGCCTCCATGGTTGGGTATGGAGCTGCTGAGAAAACTCAGAGGAAAAAAAGAAGCTTATAGAATGTCAAAGTGAGGACAGGTGGCCTGGGAAGAATATAAGGACATTGTCTGGGAAGCTAGGGACAAGGTCAGGAAAGCCAAGGCCCAGATAGAATTGAGTCTGGCCAGGGATGTCAGAGATCACAGAAAAGGCTTCTATTATAGATACGTTGCAAACAAAAGACAGATTAGGGATAATGTGGGCACTCTCCAGAAGGAAACAGGAGAAATGGCTACCCTGGATTTGGAGAAGGCTGAAGTTCTCAATGACTTCTTTGCCTCAGTCTTCACCAGCAAATGCTCTGGCCACACTGCTCAAGTCTTGGAAGGCAAATGCAGGGACTGTGAGAATTGACCTTAGGCCCACTGTAGGAGAGGATCAGGTTTGAGATAATTTTAGGAACCTGATGTGCACAAGTCCATGAGGCCTGAAGGAGCTGGCAGATGAAGTTACGAAGCCACTGCCCATCATATTTGGAAAATCATGGCAGTCAGGTGAAGTTATGACTGGAAAAAGGGAACTATAACTGCCATTTTCAAGAAGGGGAAATGGAAGACCGGGGAAATGGAAGACCTGGGAAACTACAGACCAGTCAGTCTTTCCTCTTTGCCTGGTAGGTTCATGAGGCAGATTCTCCTGGAAAGCATGCTAAGGGACATGAAAAACAACAAGGTGGTTGGTGACAGCCAACATGGCTTCACAAAGGGAAAATCGTGCCTGACCAATTTGATGACCTTCTGTGGTGGGGCCATCATAGATGGCCGTCATGGTTCTGTGCAGAGCTGATGGATAGGAGCAAAGCAGTTGACGTCGTCTATTTAGACTTGTACAAAGCGTTCGATGCTGTACCGTGTGACATCCTTGTCACTAAATTGGAGATACATAAATTCAGAAGTTCATACATAAATTTAACCATGCCAAGTGCAAGGTCCTACACCTGGGTCAGGGCAATCCCAGGCACAGCTACAGGTTGGGTGGAGAAGAGATTCAGAGCAGCCCTGCAGAGAAGGACTTGGGGGTGTTGGTTGATGAGAAACTGAACATGAGCCGGCTTCAGTGTGTGCTTGCAGCCCAGAAAGCCAACCGTATCCTGGGCTGCATCAAAAGGAGTGTGACCAGCAGGTTCAAGGAGGTGATCCTGCCCCTCTACTCTGCTCTCATGAGACCCCACTTGTAGCACTATGTGCAGTTCTGGTGTCCTAAACATAAGAAGAGCATGGAGCAAGTCCAAAGGTGACTTGAGTACTTCCCATATGAAGACAGGCTGAGAATGTTGGGGCTGTACAGCCTGGGGAAGAGAAGGCTGCGTGGAGACCTCATAGCAGTCTTCCAGTATCTGAAGGGGAGCTACAAGGATTGCAGAGAGGGATTCTTCATTAGGGACTGTAGTGATAAGACAAGAGGTAATGGGTTTAAACAGGGGAAGTTCAGGTTAGTTATAAGGAAGAAGTTCTTTACTGTGAGGGTGGTGAGGCGCTTCAGCAGGTTGGTGAAAGTGGTAAATGCTTTATCCCTGGCAGTGTTCAAGAACAGAGCCTTGGGTGACATGGTTTAGTATGAGGTGTCCCTGCCCATGGTAGGGGGGTTGGAACTAGATGATCTTAAGGTCCTTTCCTACCCTAACCATTCTATGATTCTACCATGGATTCAGAAGCCTTACAGATGAGGAGAAAATATCAAGAATGTTTATGAAGTGTTTGAATACTATAATAGCAGTAGTGTTGGGTTTTATTGCCATTTAAATGAAAATGTTTTAGCATTCAGAAAGTTCTTGGGTCACCCAGCCTGGAAGTACACCTGAAAGGATGAAGGTGCTGGACAGTCAGCATTTCCTTACAGTTTAAGGTAAATAATATATATATATATATATGGCAAATGATTAAAAAAAAGAATAAAAAAATATCAAGTCTATTCTCCTCAGCTCCATTTTTCACTTGATTTGATAAATAAATCCTTGGTGTAGTTCATTGTAATTTTTTAGTTAGTTACACTTACTATTTTTGCAATTGCATTTCCAACACCACCCCCCCCCCCCCTTTTCCCCCCGGTAGTGGTACTTCCATGCAAAATGGAAGTTACTCAAAATGGTTGATGTTCGCTTCTTTTTACATTTGTTCGTTCCTGAAAAAACATACTGTGTCTTCAGTTGTTTCCTGGACTTTTTTAAATCTGATAAGAAAAATGGTCCTGAAAAAGATGAGAAGTGCTGATATGACCTTGGCCATATCTTAGCTAGCAGGTGCCTTTAGAATAAGATGGTACTGCATCATAATTTCCTGATGAGTTACAGCATCATGATGGCATGTGCTCCCACTCAGAATCTATTTTAAGAAATGACAGAAGCACTTTCTTATAATTAATCTTGTGCTCAAAAATACTGGATTGGAGTGAAGAAAGTCTACAAAGTAATGACGTTCTGGAGATCAAAAGAGAACTAATGGAAAAGTAGTTAATTTGTATATTAAAAAAAACTTGGCAGGAAAAAAAGAAAACATCATCTCTGGTTTTTGTATTTGTCTAAATGTCCGTATAACAGATTAGTACAACAGAAGAAATAGTAAAGATGTCCTCAGACATGTGGCCCGTTTTGTTAGGCAGAACTTTCAAAAACTATTTTAAGTTCAGTGCTGTAATGGCTGTTAGAAATTGCAGCATAGGTCTTGAAAACGTACAGTCAAACCTTCTGAGAAGCAGAGCATCTGATCTCTTTGCTATAGTTTCCTATTTTGACACTAGTTTCAGTTTGACAAGAAAATGTAGGCATTTTCTTAACATTTGAGGCGCAGTGATTGTAAGGGGCAAGTTTTCATCTTAAGACTTTTCAGTATGCTGCAGATTCTGGCCTACTCTGGACAGCTCTGTATTTTCCCAGAATGAAA